GGAGGGGGGGGCAATGGCTTTGTGGGCTGTGGCCCAGCAATGATTGAACAAACATGATCAGAAAATTGATGTATTGACTAGCAACGGAAGACATTTATTTTCTAAGAAAGCGAAATAGGTGGATGTCAAGCTCATAATCAAAATTTTCAGGAAACAAAGTAAGATTGCAATAACAATTATATAACTTAGTCGATTAAAGTCCACATAGCTTTCTTGGTAATGGCGGAATCATGGCCAATTTGTGCATACCATGACTATTCCACCAAGTATCTACTATCTCTCACCAACACAAGTACCAGATTGAGTCCAGATAACTATTGTTGAAGATATAGTTGATTAAATAAAAGTATGTTCTCTCTAACTTTTAGATAAGATAGTTGCATATTTCCACATGGTATCAAAGCAAGCAGAGGGCCTGGGCTCAAATCTCCCTGCCAACCGTTAACAAAAAGAATTTCCACATGTGACTCATCAAAAGGAATCAAGCCCACATGTGAAAGGAATGTTGAAGATACAATTAATTAAATAAAGTATGTCTCAAACAACTAACGTTTTTAGATGAGATGGTCACATACTTCAACAGTTGTATTACTTTATTGTTGCAAACATACAAACTGATTATCCTTACCTATAGCCTCTATTTTTTGATAGTATAGATTAGGTATGTCAAGCATGAGAAATTAATGAATCAAACAGTCCGATAAAGCTGAAGAAGAAATAGAATAAATTCCTATTAAGGGCTTAGATCATATAAGGAATGACTGGAAATGGAGGATGGCTTCACACCACTACAAGAGTATCATGCTAAGATCATTCTTTTCTACCATCTGATGGATAATCCAAAGAGAACAAAATTTATGTGGACCACCAAACATAAAAGATACAAAGAATATCACTAGGAAAGCTGCAGTCATAACACAGACGAAGAGCACACTGCAGAACGATAGGCATGTCAGACAGATCTTACCGGTTGGGTTTCCTCTTGAGCTGTCAATGCACGATCAGGCCGATACGTGTGGTTCTGGCGTTTTGCCCATATCCAATAACGTTGAAATTGCACCGGTATACCAAATGCCTTAGCAACTGCCTCCTGGAAACAGATGTACCATCAGACACGTGTTTACATTCCATATTTCAAGTTGTAGGAGCAGAAAATATCACATGAAGCCTCTATATTAAACAAGGGCAAACTGAATTCATTCACAGCAGTACATACAATAGCTCATCAGAAAACGAAACACAACAGAATGATAAAAGTACCTTCAATTGAGTAAATGGCATCTGTTTATCAATACAAAAAGTACGCACTTTATCATGGTCCACAAGATCAAAATAAATCTCCTTTCCAATTTGTTCAGCGAGGTCTTCATCACGAGCTACCTGAAAAATGAAACGACTAATTACAGTTAAAAGTTTCCCAAGTATAAAGACAGAAGAAGGGATAGAGACAAAAAAAGTTGAAAGAAACCTTGATCATTGTGTAGAGACAAGCCTCTGCTTTCTCCTTTCCCTTTTGTACCATTTCTTCTTGCTCTTTATTCGCTCTTACCTGAAATTTGAGGGTAAAAGTTTACTATGCCTGGACCAGCATAATGAGAAACCAAATAAGCAGTATTGAGTAGAAACCCACTCAAAGATGCTAGGCTATGTCCTTCTCATCCACACAGAATATAATCTTTTCCTTGTCAATTTCACATATATAAATAAACAAACATATACGCGTTTGAATATTTTATCAGTTCAACAGTGAATTGTTGCCAAAATATGGACTACTGGAATTTATAGACTTTCTGAAGGCCCAAGATATGACATATTTCAACATTTGTAAATATTATATTGCTGATGGACACTCGCAGATGCTTCATGCACTTTCAAAAGAATTAAAATTACACCAAACACAGCTACTTTAAGTAAAACAAAGTTATGTAAAACAGAGTAAAGCTGAAGAAACAAAGTGAATACACACAGCAAAATATATTCAGTAACAATCGCATTTTTAAAAGTAATTCTACGTCAACTTCATCCCGTAATCACAGCCAACTACATTCAATACATTTATTTTCAAAACTACACGGAGAAAAGCTACTGTAAGACATGAAAAAATACGCAAAGCAGAGTGAAACTGTGAATACACACAACAATCACATTTCGAAAAGAAATTTTAGGTCAAATTTCACATAGCAATCATAGCGATAGACAAGCAAAGTGCATTAGTGATTGGTCAAATAAAACTCGAATAAAATATCTTGAGTTTTCTTTAATAGAACAGGATGTTTATACGACATTGCATTATACATAGATAGACCTCTTAACTTGATCTCAAGTGTCAAATAAACATTCCAACTTTGAAAATACACAGCCCAAAATAAATCAACTACTCTTCGTTGTGTCAATTGAACACTCTAACTTACCAAAGTGAGCAAAATCGAGTTCAGCAGGTGTACAGCCAAAAACTCTGAACTACTATTTGCGCTCACCTCACCGGAACCTAAACTTGTATTCACCTCTGCTACAGACCAATAATCTCACGCGCTCTCTCTCTCTCTTAATCTCAACCAAAGGAGCACATCTAGTTTAAAAACTCTCATTCTTATTTAGAATGGGAAGATCTTTCAGTTCGTAAAAGCATAAGCTTTGATCTCGGGGGAATGAAAATAAATTCTCAAAGATCCATAACAAATCTGTGAAGTAGTCAATAAATGGAAGAAATCCACAGATATTTACAGCTACTCAGCGACATCCTTCTTCGTACCATTCCACCAATAGTGTAGAGACATCATCAAAATCTATTGCATACTCCAAGAAATGTTATAAGAGTGTACCACACGTACCTGGATGTACTCCAAAAATGAAGGAACCTCAGGAAAGCGATATTGTTCAGTGCATTGATTTCGAAGGGATTTCTGAAAGCAAATTATATCCCCATCTTCTAGCTGCAAAACCAGAGGAATATTGCAGAAAAAGGTTTCATTGGTAATAAATCCAGCAAAACAAACAAAAAGGAATTGAAAGAAATTGAATACACCACAAAATGCATACAAACCCAAGAAGTGTCAACTGACAATTGGTTGGACATACCTGGCCCTCACAAAAACTCAACATACTGTCGATCTTTTCACACATCAAACTAGGTTCGAATTTTATTTCCTGTGAATAACAAAACCTGAGTAATCACATATCATATTTTAAGAGTTAACTAATTGCTAGCAAGAGAAGAAGAAAAATAACCTCAAAGAGTTCAATTTCTTCATCAGGCGAAAAGCCAGCCAACTCCTTCAGCTTTGTTTTTATCTCCAGCGGCTTGCCACTTCCTTTTACAAAAAGATGTCCAACATACCTGACAAAAAAAAAGGAATTTAAAAGATAAAAACCAAAAAATCTCACCACACCATGGCTTCTCATATATCCAGCCCCAAGCAGTTGGACTTTAACTGAACTTCAAGTTTCAAATGTATTAAATAGTGAATTAACCCTATTAATATGATGGCTCAATAAGTCCACGGTTTTGACCAAGTCTTTTTCTATTATTTCTTGCCACGTTTTTGTGTACACTCATGCTAACTAACTACAGTGCCATTCAATTCTCTACAATGTCTGATTAAAACCACTAGATCGAGTACAAGTCAAAGCACCTTTCCATTTAATTGTGTTTTCTCAAAATAAATGAGGAAATCCCGAATTCAAACATGAAAATCACTACTTTAGTGGAAGTATTTCAGCTATTGAGAAGCAAAATGTAATACCTAATCGTCTCTTTCAGAGGGTCATAAAGTTTTAAAAATAGAAGGATTTCTTCCCTGGTCGCCTTCCCTGGTGGATGTAAAGGTCGCAAATCCTGCAAGAATACACAAAATAAAAAATAAAATGTAAAAGTAAAACATGTAAAATAAAACCTCACAAAGATAACATGCAACAAGTCAATCACCGAAAAGGAAGACAAGTAAGCAGGTGATGTATTACCAGGCATAATTCTACTTCCAGAAAAAGTTTTAGCTCATCATTGTTCCATTTATTTGAAACCTCTCTCAGTTCACCAACCTGAAAGCAGATCATGCAAGATAATTAACACAGAGTTAATCAAGCACTCCCATCCTTTAACAGATTGTAGAAACCATGCACTACCAAAGAAAGATTGCAAGACAAAAATGATCATAATACCAGTCACAATTGTCATGCTTCAAGAAAATCAGGCCTGAGGGGTTCCAATACCTCCAACTGGAAAATGTACCTGGAGAGTGGGCCGGAGGGAGTTGAAGAGGAGAGAGGGAGGGGGGGGGGGGGGGGGGTTAGAC